TAAACATGGGTGCACATATATCACTGTGGTATGATGTTTTTAATTCTTCTGGGAAAATACCTAGAAGGTGAATAGCTGGGTTAAGTGGGACTTCTAGTCTTAGTTTTGTAAGGAATCTCCATGCTAATTTCTCACAGTGGTTTCACCAGTCTACACTCCCACTAGTAGTGGAGAAGGGTTCCTTTTTCTCCGCAACCTCTCTAGAATTTGTTATTGGTTAATTTCTTAGTGATAGCCATTATTTTTGGAGTGAGATGGAATGTCAGTGTTGTTTTAATTTGAATTTCTTGAATGACCAATGATGTTAAACATTTTTTCATATATTTATTTGCCATTAGTATTTCTTCTTCTGAGAAGTGTGTTACTGTTTTTTTTTGTTTTTTGTTTTTTTTTTTTCTGGCCCTAAGTGAAAGTGATAGTGTTATGGTTTGTGTCTGGATGTCCTCGCAAAGCCTCATGCAGTCATGGGGAAGGCTTCTAGAGTTTATGATTGATTCATGGGTGTGAGTGCTACACCTGCCCTGAGGTGGGTAGTTTGCATACAATGTAAGGGAGGGAAAGAGGGTGCTTGCCTCTCTTCCCCCCTTTTGCTCTTGCTGCTTTTGCTATCTTCAGCCACCATGAATGGTTGCCCTATACCATGTGCCACTCTGCCTTGGAGCCAGCCAAGTACAGACTAAAATTTCCACAAACTGTGTGCTAAATAAACCTTTCCTTCCTTAATTTTGGGCATTGGATATTTTGTCTCAGCAACAAGAGTAACAACAAGTATCAAGAAAAAGTAACAAGACAGATAGTTTAGCTAAGAACATGCTCTTTACAGTTGTTTTAATATTCAAGAGCCCTGTCAGGTTTTCAGACTTCTCATTAAAATTATCTTGGAGGGGCTGGGGATTTAGCTCAGTGACAAAGCACCTGCCTGGCAAGCACAAGGTCGAGAGTTCAGTTCCCGGTACCGGAGAAAAACTAAAAAAAATTTAAAAATCAATAAATAAAATTATCCTGGAACCACTTAGATATGAAATCTCCAGATCAAAGCAGTAAAGAGATCTCCTGTAGGCTTCAAAATGCTCCCTATGTTTTTTTTAAATTGGTAATACCTAGTATAAAATACTGATAAAATACCTGGGTGTGATGGTGCATACCTGTAATTTCAACTCTCTCTGAGGCTGGGGCAGGAAGACTGCAAGTTTGAGCCCTGCCTAGGCAATTAAGCAAGCCCCTATCTCAAAAAGGGAAAGCAAAAACATTGGAAAAGCAAAAACTTGAAAATCATCTTTGAAATTTCACCAAAAACCCAAAACCTGTCTACCCAGCTATTGAGATACATCACAACTGAATGAATCAGTAAATCTCCAGCAGGCTCAAAATACATAAATAGGTAGTTAATTTGGTTGGAAATTCTCCCAGAGAATGAGTTGAGGTGCATTGTAGCTAACCATAGTCATTCACTAGACTGTTACCAGTGCTGACTGAAGATATTGTGACATCACCAACTGAAAGCTACAGGGGCAGAGCCGCTAAAGAGGCAGTTTCTGTTGTGTTGTTGGTGTTAACTCAGTATAAATTCAAATTCCTAAATTAGGATGCTAAATGTAATCACACCGTTTAGCACCATAAAAAAACACACCATAAAGAAAATGGCTGTAGAATATTTACTAAAGAAAATGAGATTGGAATTTAAACATTTCACTACAAAAAAATCAACCAAACACAAGGTAGACACTAGTGCAAGAAATGAGAGATGAAAAGAAAGCCATAGTACATATAAAAAACAAATAGCTAAATGACGGAAACCCCATTTTATTAACAAATATTCTGAAATGTAAATGGCTTGAACTGTCCAGTCAAGAGACGAAGGTTAGGGGCTGGGGATTTAGCTCAGAGGCACAGCACCTGCCTGGCAAGTGCAAGGTCATGAGTTCAATTCCCAGTACTGGAAAAACAACAGCAACAAAGAGACGAAGGTTAGCAGAATGGATTTAAAAAAAAAAAACAAAAAAAAAACAAAAAAAAAAACGCTATCCAGCTATGTGGTTTGTGTGAGACTCACTCTGGACGGAAAGAGACAGATAGCTTGAAAGTGAAAGAATGAAAAGGATATGCAAAGAATAACCGCATAGCCCTGAAACAGCTAAACTAATATCAGAAAAAATAGACTTATAATTTCAAAAAGTTATAAATCAAGAGTCAGTATATATTAATAAAATGTCAACATCATAAGAAAACACAGAATTTATAATCATTTGTAAATAAGAGACAAAATAAAATATACGAAGTGGAACAGAATTGAAGAGAGAAAAAGTTCTACAGTAACATGGAGGTATCAACTACCTCTACAATGGATAGAACAAAGAAGGTAAGTGAGGGAATAGAGGACATAATACATTAACCAACTAGATCTAATGCACACAGGCAGAACCCTCTGCTCACAACAGCAGTGTGAACATTCTTCTCACATGGGAAATGAGGCACTTTGGGACATGGGACATTTTCCAGGAGAGATCATTTGTGAAGTGAAGTTTTAATGGATTTTAACTGGTAGATGTCATACAAGGTTCTTTCTAACCTTATCAGAATGAAGTTAGAAATCAGTAACAGAAGGAAAACTGGAAAATTCACAAAATATGGAAAAATTAAACACATTATTGATCAAGTAGGAAATCTCAGAGTTTACTTTGAGAAACATATAAAAATAAAACAACATATTTTTATGAGTTGCAGCAAAAGTAGTGTATAGAGGAGCTTTTATAGTTATAAATAAAACCAGAAGAAAGATCTCAAAAGTAAATCTTTACAACTTAGAGAACTAGAAAAAGAAGAACAAACTAAACCTGAAGTTAACATGAGGAAGGAAATAAGATCAGAGAAGAGATAAATAAGATAGAAAACATAAAAATAATACAGAAAATCAACTAAAGCAGAAGTTTGTTCTTTGACACCACCCAAACTGACAAATCTTTAGCTAAATGCACCAGAAAAAAAAGAGAAAAAACTTGAATTACTGAAATCAGAAATGAAAGTGGGGACATTACTTCCAATCCTTCAGAAACAAAGAGGGTTTTAAAAGATTACTATGAACAGTTGTACAAATTGGATGACCTAGATGAAATGGACAAAATCCTAACCACACAAAACTTACCAAAACTAAATCGTAAAGAAATATGAAATCTAAACAGATCTATAAGCAGTGAGGAGATTGATCAATAATCAGAAATCTCCCCAAAGAGAAAAGCCCTGGATCCAGTGGCTTCCCTGATAAATTCTATCAAAATTCTAAAGAAAATCAAACATAAATTCTTCTAAATTTTTTCAAAAAATTGAAGAAAAGGGAAGACTTACCAGCTCATGACACTGATACCATCAAATTGTACACTTAAAATTATTATGATGATAGGTTTTATGTTACATGTATTTTACCGCAATAAAAAAACCATGTGTTTGGACTCTTTCTACTCAGACTGGGATCCTTAGGAAATTTTGTTTCAAAGTAAGTGGTACTAACTTCTCTAAATACCTTTGAAACAAAGAGCTGTTAAAGTAGCTATATATCTATAACCAAGTATTTCAGTTCAAAGGCTGCCAAAGGGCCAGTATAATTCATTTAAATTTTTTTCATATATGGATATTGGCTAAACATTTTTAGAGTTATTTCCAAAATACCAAAGAAAACAATCCTTTTAGGTGGAAAAGGAAAGCAACTAGCCATCAAGTTGAGTTTTTATTTAATGTGTAGCTAAATTACAAGCTAAATGGGGGCTACTCCAAAATATGGCATTTGACTTGGGGCTTAAGAAGTAGGTAGGAGTTATCTTTTGCTAAGTATGGCACTAAAAATAAAATTAGAAGTTTGGGGGATTTTCTTTGGGATGTATGTAGCTAAGTTTGGTATTTGAATTGTATGAAAATGCTTTTCAAGGAGCAAGCAGACCTATTTTTTATGATTTGAAGGACATCTAAAAAAGCACATCATATGTGGGTTTTCTTTCCTGTCAAGGTGATGAGGCACCCAGATCATGTGTCATCCAGCGTTTATTTATGGGCTCATCATGAGAAACTTGTCATCATCGATCAATCAGTGGCCTTTGTAGGTGGGATTGACCTGGCCTATGGACGGTGGGATGACAACGAACACAGACTCACAGATGTGGGAAGTGTGAAGCGGGTCGTTTCAGGACCGTCCCTGGGTTCTCTCACAGTAAGTCAATTCTGCTTTTATGGAACTGCATAAAATGAACATGATTTGCATGAGTACGTGTTAATAGCGTGACTGAATAATTAACAGGTAGCGTCTCCTTGAGGGGGCAGAGTTTGAGCCAAACCTCAGATATACCTTGTTCTATAGCAGCCTCACCACCTAGCTAGCGTGGAACTTAGCATCTTTCAGTCTCAGTTTCTTCTCTTGTGAGAAGAGAGCAGATTCAACAGATTCTGCTGTCTCAGACTCAGCTTCTTGATTTTCTATGTAAATGAAGGATTTATTTTGTAATTGAAAACAAAGTTCATAAAAGTGTGTGACAATCAAAATTTAGGTTAAAAACCTGAAAAGTCTTGTTAAAATAGCTTCTGGGGAGAGGGATGCAGCTCAGTGGTAGAGCACAACTTAGGCAAGATTTTTTAAATTTCCCTACTTTAAAGACACAAAAAACAGAACAGATCACTCTGAGATCATTTAGAGAGCATTCCATTTGAGCAGAAAGTTAATAACTTCGTAAAGTACCTGTCAAATCAAGAGGTGCTAAAATATTTATATGTCTATACCCATTGTCTTGTTGTTTCAGCTGTGGTTATTTCAACTGTGTTATTTCAACTATGGCTGATACAAAGTATCAGTACGCTTATTAAAAGTTTTGATGGACTGCATCTTGTTTATTTTTGCATTTTTGGGGGGGCGGGGATAGCAAGTTAGTGAATAGATAGCAGGGAAAATGATTAACACAAGAATTTTAATGTTTATCCAGGAGAGTAGTTCAGCAGCTCAACAGTTACTTACGTGTAATTGTATCCGAGATAAAAGGGTGACTGGAATGAAATTTCAAGAATTTGGACTGCTGAAGGAGAGCCTCAGTGAGATACAGTATTCCTTTGGTACTCTTTAACCAGCTCCTAGGAATCCACCACCACCCTGCGGCTGACCTCACACTTTCCTGAGGGTGTGCAGTGAGGCTCCGCCACT